ACCAAGTTCGAAAAAATAGATTTGGATGATATAAAAATAAAAATACAACTTATCATATTGAAAGAAAATTTATAATTTTTGAAACATAAATTATAACATTTATAAATATTTATAAATATTTATGATTATGTTTATGTTTTTTTCAACAAAAATATTGAAGCAACTACTAACTATTTGACATGGTAAGTACATTCTCATGCATATACCTGCCATGCTTTAATTATCTGTTGTAAATTTTTTAAATATCAAACTAAACTGTTTTAAGGCTATTATGATATGATAAGAAATTAAAAATATTTTTATAAAAAGTTTTTTTAGCATTCAATATATTATAAATTTATGTTTCAAATTTGTTTTATAAATTTTATAAATGTTATAAAAAACATAAACATTTATAACATTTTCATAATATTTTTTATAACATTTTTATAAATATTTATGTTTTTTTAGCTTTCAACATGTTATAATTTACTAACCTGATATTTGGGCTAACATTTTTAATAATCAACAGAAAAAACTTAACTAAAAACGTTGCTATAAGATTTTGAGCAAAGTTCATAAAATTATATTGAACATTTAAAACATGTTAAATGAGCATTGTAACTAAAATAAAATTAATATAAAAAACAAATTTAACAAAGAAAAAAATTCGTATAAAAGAAATTATCTTGATGTATAACTTACCTGTTTTGTTAGAAACAACAAAGGAACTTAATAAAAACAAATATAAGTCCTAAGTATATCAAACATACAAAAATAAATTATATAAATATAAATAAAATATAAAATTACTATCAAAAGATGTAAAGTATATAGAAAATTATAGCAAAATTAATTGAAATTAGTTTCAAAAAATTCATAATTTAACAATAAGTAACCATCTAAAGTTGCAATAGATTTACATGAGTAAAATATACACTGATTAATACACTAGGTGTTTCAGATTTTAGAAATTAACAAAGGAAAACACAACATAAATAACCTAACATTCAAAATTTAACAAGTTCTGAAATCTGATTTTTATACATAATCACTACTTATATCTGAACCAATATTAATAACATATGAGTAACACATTATAAAATTCTATTTAAATAACAAAATATGAGAGAGTTATGAATCAAACTCAAATTGGTATCTATAGATAAAACATTCAAACTGAAGCATACAGATTACACACAAAAGATAAAAATAGTAAAAAATAATGCGAAGACTCCACACCGCTGATCCTACAAGTATAAAAACTGAAATTATCAAATATTAGACTGCAAAAAATAGATCTCAATGAAAACTGAATAATGATATAAGCTAAAACTCATGGATGACCTGGTGAAGAGGGAAAAAATGGCTTTGCATGATCATTGTAACTTCCTAACAAGAGTAAATACGAATCAACATGAATCATGAATTATAAATGCATATATACACAAACATCACATTTAATAAAATAAAACTAAATATTTAAACACATATACTTTAAAGAAAAAATAACTGCAAAAATCCTATGAAAACCAAAACAAAATACCAAGATCTTAGCAAAAGAAACATTTCTCTAAATCAAACGTATGTGTATATCAGAGTTGGATAATTTGATAGGTGTTATTGTTATTATTTAACATAATAAAATTTAAAATTTTATATATAAAAATAGGAGAAACTACACATTATATTTTAATTTCTCTTATATAAAGAATTTTTTTTATAAATCTATTATAGTTTTGATAATTTACAAGATAATACCTTAAAAAAATTAAACTAAACTATTAATACAGACTCGCATTTAGCGCGAGTTATAAACCTAGTATATTGAATAACTTGATAGATAAGGCCAGACAGAACCTCTCATTACTTGCTAGCATCGCCACCATGTCGGAGAGACAAAGACTAAGGCCCTAAATGTGAGTGGTTTAACAGTCCATACACCCACACATCAGAAATCCATGCCAAGTATGTAACTTGGCTCTAAAAAGAAGCATAAACCATTAACAGACCTAGAATTTCTTATATTCAAATATTCAAACCTCTGTACTGGAGCCAATCAGTGAATAACAAATTACTACTTTCAACATGTAGTAGCAAAAAATGACTATTAAATGCACTTTGGAAAGATAAAATAATGGGATTGACTATTTGTTGAACCAGAAAATCACCACTACGGTTTTGATTAACAGTTTGGGTTTAAGAGAATATCAAATTGGAGCTCATAGATTTGATCATAGAAAATATGAACTACTTGAAGTTTTTATCAAGCTATAGCTGGACCTTTAAGAAAGGCTGCCTATGTACCCTTGCAAAGAGATCAAGCCATTCATAGTTTGGTAACAAAGCATTTAAGCAGAGGAAATCTAGAGAATTCTCTCTAGATCTCAGATTTTACGGTAGATGCTTCAGATGAGGTTTTCATCCCTTTTTTATCCTCTTCAACTTATGAGAAGCTCCCTATTTATAAGAAGGCGATGTCGGTTTCTTTGACCTTGTTTCCCTATTTATGAGTATTTCTCCTTTTCCATTAGGAAAACTTTTTTTTTTCCTTATTCTTTGGAAATTTGCCATTATCTTCAAAAAATTTTCCTTAATCCACAAGTCAGTGTGATTTTCTTTATATTGATGGGCTTATGTTATTGCTAGAGAAAGCCTTTTAGAAAATGAGCATTTATTTTAATATATATAAAATATTCATTATTTTAATATAAATTTATTTAATTTTAAAATTTTAAAATAAAAAGAATTAAAATCAATTATAAAATTACAAGAATTATTAAAATATCTCAAGTATTTATGTTTGAGTTCTCAAGTAAAAACTAGATCTCATTTTCTTTCTATTTTTTTCTATTTATTTATAATGAAATACTCTTCTAGATATCCTTAATAAGGGCAGTAAAAAAAAAAAAATCCCTAATAACCTTTACAACCCAAAAGCACCACACCCTAATAATACCACGGACCGTGCGTCCATTCTTTTTTTTTTTCCACCATCGAATTTTTCAGATTTCTGCATGTTTATTATATGCACATCTGATTTTTTTCTTAGAACATCTTTAACCTTACAACATTTTTAACTTTAAAATGGAGTAATACCATCTTTCCTCTAAATATGTAGTAATCTTTTGTTGTCCACTTTTATATGAACATTTTTATTCATAAAGTATAGTTTCAAAATTTAAATAATTTTACTTTAAAATGTATAAATTATTATTTTGATGATAATTGTTGGGTGATGAGTATTGATACTAAAACACTATGATACTTAAGATTAATTAAAGTGTAAATAATAAATATTTAATTGAAAATGATATAAACTGAAGATAAATTTAAAAGCATATAGAAAGTATTGAAAATGTTTGTAAGAAATAAACTAATTGGTCAGTTTGTAAAATTTTAAAATAATGTGTATTCTTAACAATTAATAATAAAATTGAATTTTGTTTTACAAATATATCACTAGACATGTCGATCATCTATATTTTTATTAATTTATTTAACATTGACTTCATTTTTTCTCCTTACAAATTTAGAATAACTTTTAACATATTTTTAGCCAAAATTTTGTATGTAACAGATTTTGTTTAAAAAAATATTTTGATTCATTTTTTTTGTTTTAAACTTATTAGTATACTATAGACCAGTGTTTTATTTTAAAGCCTAGACCAAATGTTTGTATCTAACATTTTAGCACATTTGAGAAGTAATTTTTTTATTAATCCAATAACAATACATGCAAACATAATCTTTTTTTTGTTTCAAATTGTATACTCTCAAATTCTAAATTTTGCGATTGAGATCTTTTTCGATTCTTTGCTTCAGAAATTGATAATTTTTCAGGATTTTGATTCAAAAAGCTTATATAGAACATGGTGTCTTATTGTTAATCATTTGAGAGGAAGAAATCATGAAAATCGTTAAAAATCATCTATATATAGTTAATGATGATAATACATAAAACTAAAATATGCGATTCTGAATATTATATGAAGAGTACTTCTATTAAGACACATGTGAACACCCGTGATTTTTGTTTTAGTTCTCAATCAATATTTAAAAAACCATGATTTGAGAACATTGTACCAAATATTTTAGTTGTTTTGTCATAAAGTTATACAATTAGTGTAGAGTATGATAGAGATTGTTATGATCATAACCATTATATTATATATTTTTGTTTTGATAAAATATTTATTTTGAAAGAAAAAAATGAAAAAAGATTGAAATATCTTTTTGGAGAGATTTATTAATGAAAATCGTTAACAACCCAGAAAATAATTTATTTACATACTATTTCTTTCATAGTATTTATGTAATCAAAAATAATTATTACATATTCATCATTGACTATAAATTGGCACATTTAAAAAATAGTATGATAGTTTTGGAGATTTTAAAGTAATACTTCTCTTTTAATAGAAAATAAAAAATTGATTATAATATAATAAATATGTAATTATATTAGTTATTTATGCCACATATATATAATTATGGTAAGATATTATATGATATTATGAAAGATTCTAAAATAATTTCAAAATTAAATTAAATTAAATTATAATAGTATAACATATAATTTGTTGATATTAGCTGCTAATAAACTAATATAATTTAATTTAGTTTAATGTATTTGTTAATAGTTTAATGAGAGGACACAATTATCCTTAATAAATAATTAATTTTTAAGAGAATTTAATGACATTTTAATAAATATCGTGGTAGCTTTTGGTTATTTAAAAATAATACTTCTTTTTTAATAGTACAGATATTATAGACAGTTTTTTTATATTTTTGTTTTACTATACTATAATCAAATTTTTTGTAATTTCGACAATTCAATCTCATATCGCTTGTTTTTCGATTTCAATCGGTCTCTTAGGTCCTAACGTTATATCATCTATATTCCTACATACGTCGGGCTTTATCTAGAATTGATTCATTGACGAAAAAGCAAAAGGAATTGAAATAAAAATCAACACCAATACACAAGAAAAAAATGATGAATTCACCATCGGTGTCCTTTTTATGTTTTTCCCCGCCAAAGACCAAATATTCAAATTTTGGAAGGTTTTATTTTTCCCCGCATGCAAAACGTTTTGTATATTTTATTCAACGTTAAATTGTGCTTTTAACAGGCGTCTATCCCGAAAAGTTCAGTTTAAATAACAAACCCTCCTTTTCCTTTTTGAAAAGACAACCGCGTTATGAAATGTCATTGGTCTCCGGCTATAAATAGCGGAGTAGAGAGCAACTCTCCTTATCTATCAATTAAAATTGTATTTGTTTCCAATTATCATTTTCTAAATCCTTTGTTTTCGAAAACACCTCCCAAGGTCCGTTTAAAAACTAAATCATCCTAATCTCTTTATATTTTTCTTTCACTTCACCATTCGGTGTATGTTCTAGACTCGAATGATAAATAATTAATGATGATCTTTGTTTCTGTCTCGCTCGTCTAAATAAACCGTTGTTAATTTTCCATTACTTTGGTTTTCATATAGTGTTTACTCCTTGATCGTTACAAAGTCATTCCTTCGCATTATATTATATTTTGTTTTCCAAAAAAAGGAATTGAATCAGTTAATTATTTCAATTCTGATCGCATGAACGCATGTTTTTGGTAAAATTTTTCAACGTTATCTTGTATTTTCTTATCTAAGTTCTTCATGTTTTTTTTTGTAATTAGAACGAAAAGAAATGTCGACGGAGTCGTATGAAGATGCCCTTGAAAGACTGGGAGAGCTTCTCAGGTACACACACTGACACACATTCTTTTTCTCTCCCATGGTAAAACAGAACTTTTGGGTTTTGCATGATCATTTGGACCCTATACACTGTATCTTGATTACTCGTTTGTATAGAAAATATAGTTTGTCGTCTAATTTTTGTTTAATATTATGAAATAGGCAATTAACCTGCAGTAAGATATCGGATCTCGGGAACGTGGCGGCCGTAAAGATAAAGAAGTTAACGGATGAGCTAGAGGAACTTGATTCCAACAAGTCATCAGATGCCGTAGAACGAATCAAATCCGGATTTCTCCATTTCAAGACTCGCAAATATATGTATGTTTTATTCCTTCCGTATGCATCCGTCCATTACAATATACTTTTAATATGAATAAAAAACCTAACTTTTTCCCCACACTTGTATAAATAATAGTAGTGCTTATAAAGTTAAAACACTTATTTTAATCTAGTTACCTAATCCAGAAGCGCATAACACGGAAAGGGGATTCCTTTCATGTGTGTTTTTAAACGTGCGTCTTTGGTTAAGTAAAAGCTTGAGTCTTGAATTTGATGATTGTTCATTAATTATATCGTTGGTTTCATCAATTTACAGGAAGAGACCTGGTTTGTACAATGCACTTGCCAAGAGCCAGAGTCCCAAGGTTTTGTTTTGTTTCCCAATCTCTTTATTCTTATTTTTTTCTCCTATAGTGGTTTCCTTTTCTCTAATTGGCCAAAAGGGGTATGAAACAGAAGGAAAGGTCTAATCCAGTAATGATGATGGTAACTTTATGAGCAAGTTAGAGAAAAAAAAACTAGAAACCCTCAAAGAGATCCTTGTATTTTGCAGTTTCTGGTGTTTGCTTGTTCGGATTCCCGAGTTTCCCCTTCTCACATCTTGAATTTCCAACCTGGGGAAGCTTTTATCGTTAGAAACATTGGAAACATGGTTCCACTTTTTGACAAGGTTCGTCCTAACAAAAATCTTTTTAATTATCGTTACATAACATCACAAGTAGTTGTTAGTGGTTAAGTAACTACTACATATTTACATAAGCTTTGTCTTTGGAAACTTGCAGACACAACACTCTGGTACTGGTGCCGCTCTTGAATATCCAATTGTAAACCTCAATGTACGTAATAATTAATTGCTTATTAGAGATATTACTCTTGTCGGCCATACATAAATATGCTTAGTAAAAACCTGACGTGACCTAGTTTTAGCCCTAAGATAATGTAAATGCTTGTCACTATCAGGTGGAGAACATTCTGGTAATTGGTCATAGCCGTTGTGGTGGAATAAAGGGACTCATGTCCATTGAAGATGATGCAGCTCCTAGTAAGAGGTAAAGAATTTCAAAAGGCTAATCTAGTCAAATATCCTCTAATTACCTAATCAAGCATGAGACAGTTTCTTGGGTTGGTTCACTAACTTTATTGAAATTATTTGAAATGGCAGCGTTTTCATAGAGGACTGGGTCAAGATCGGTACACCTGCCAAGAACAGGGTTAAGCAGGAGTTTGAAGACCTGAGCTTCGAAGATCAGTGCACCCACTGTGAGAAGGTACGTGATAATTAAGGGAAAAAAACACACTCTTTTTCTCTGTTTTTTGTCTTATACTTTTTTAAGGTCGAAACTGAGATTGTCTCGTGTTTCCAGGAATCGGTGAACGTTACCTTGGGGAATCTGATGTCTTACCCATTCGTGAGAGAAAGGGTGGTGCGTAACAAGCTTGCCTTACGAGGAGGTCACTACGATTTTGTGAACGGAACATTTGAACTCTGGGAACTCGACTTCAAGACCACACCTGCCTATGCCTTTTCTTAAAACATTCCTGCTTACCTTTCTCTCTATGTTGCTTCTAATTAACTGTGTTCTTATCATCTTTCTTTGTTTCATATGTTTCTTGTTTGTGTTTCTTGTTTCTGTTTGAAAAGAAATGAAAATAAGCTATAAAAAGCATTTTTTAGTTTCTGGCTGCATTCTGATGGGATCCGGTGCATTAGTGGTGGTATGATCGCACCCGTTAGTACATGTAACGCAATCGCTAATATGCTTTTGCGCTGACTCATGGCCTCTTTTGCCGTGGACCTTACTTGATTCATGGGCTTTTTAGGCATGCTTGGACGGGTTTTTACACTGAGAAAATCGCGATAACCACGTTCGAAATGATCGAATCAGAACCTGTAATTTGGTATGTAACAGAAAACAGGCCAAAAAAGGATCTAAACAGCGGAATTTGAGGATTTTAAAACTCACCCATGGTCTTAAGACCTTGGGCAAGCCAAAGAGCACTCTTAGGGCTTTCCGAAAAGGTGGTGACGGCGGTGTGGTTCCATACGGTCCAGAAGTTACGTCGTTCCAAAGGTACGATGTTATTTTCGAAGACGGAAAAAAAGAAAGAAGCAAAAGAAAAAAACAAAAAAAAGGGTGCAACACGAGGACTTCCCGGGAGGTCACCCATCCTAGTACTACTCTCGCCCAAGCGCGCTTAGCTGCGGAGTTCTGATGGGATCCGGTGCATTAGTGCTGGTATGATCGCACCCGTTAGTACATGTAACGCAATCGCTAATATGCTTTTGCGCTGGCTCATGGTCTCTTTTGCCGTGGACCCCACTTGATTCATGGGCTTTTTAGGCATGCTCGGACGGGTTTTTACATTGAGAAAATCGTGATAACCACGTCCGAAATGATCGAATCGAAACCTGTAATTTGGTAGGATTTCACCTGAATCACAAGATTCCCTATTCCTCCGTGCTATTGAGAATGCGTGTTGCAGCAAATGCTTTTTGAAAGATTTTCTAAATGGAAGATGAGAGTCCAATAAACTAATTTTTATGCAAGAATTTAAGTTTTTCGGATTCTTTTTCAGTCTTACAAACTAATTTTCTATGATTTATGTTTTTGGATATTTTATATTACAAACATATATTTGGGACATAATTAAAAGGATTCTGATTCTTCAATAGTATTTTTTAGGTGTAATCTCAACTATTGATTAAAATAAAAAATGATTAGAATTTTTTTTTATAACCACGTTATTCATATTGGTTACCAAATATATTTTTTAAAAAAACTTCAATAAAAGACAGATAACTATAAAAAAAAAAATACATAATAGAAAAGGAAAATACTCCTTACACAGTTGATTTATACTTATTTTATTAATTTTTGGGTAACATGACAGAAATTTTTAAAGCAATGCTTGACAGATTGTTGAAATCATGAATCTTCTGTAAGAGTTGTGGGCTAAGTTTAACACTTTCCAACTCATCCTGGCACGAGGCTCCATTTGTGGTCGCAGATGTGACTTTAGAGTTTAAACTTGTACTGTCATTGAATGCCAAAGCTTTGAGGATGTCATCAAAGTCAATAATTGCATCTTCATAATTTTCTGAGCATTGAGTATAAATATTTTTTGTACGAAAACCATTTTCAATTTTCGCCAGTGCTTCAAATTGCTTATGTGCGTCTAAGGCATTTCCTGATGCAGCAATAATCAAAAGCTTTGCGACACCAACAAGATCCAATGCTTTAGTTTGTGGAGTCGATTTAAAGAAGTTGAAACAAAATGAAGGATCTCCATTTTCGGAGCAGATGGTGTTGACCTCACTGTCTGAAATTTGGATACTAATTCTTGCGTATGATGAGGCAACAAGAAGAAAAATCACTACTAATGAAACGAATAAAAAGTTGTTTTTGACATACACAGCCATGTTTATTCGTATGTTTTTGATATGAGGATTCTGGTTTCTTGTTCCAATTCCAAACAACTAACAATTGTGAGATTTATATGCTAAACTATGTTTTGTTATGTGTCTGATTATGTACCATAATAAGGTTATTAATTATGTCAATAACATTACATCAAAGCATGCAAATATTTTTCCTTTTTTCCATAGAGCTATGTGTACTTCACAAATTACAAATTACAGATTTCATTATTGTAAACAAATATGAAAATAACTGTTATATAGAGGAGGAAATCACCGAGAAATTTGTATATATCATTTAATCTCTGATCTCAAATTTATTTGCATATTGTGATCAAGTCAATTAAATTATGCAGAGCTTGATTATGTACAGTCGATGCCTTACATCTAATGGCTTTGTTGCCAAGCAGAAGTGATTCCAAATTCCATGTTTGATCATTTTCTTGTGGTACGGGATTATTAAATTAGCTGAGGCCCAATGTGGAAAAACAGATTTCTACGAGTTTAATTATTTACATTACATTTTAATTTGCATATTGCATAGACTTATTTATTAATTTAACTTCAAATTTTATATATTTATATTATTATTATTTATATAGTTATTCAATAATATTAAATTAGGATTCATCTATATATGGGTTTTTAATAAAATATTTATAAATTTATAAAAATAATTTGAAAACAAAATTGGATAATTCATAAAGAAAAGTAAAACTAATTTTCCTCTTTTTATAGTATTAGTGTTTTAGCTTATATGTTTCTAAATTTAAATTAATTCTATTTATTTTTATTTTGTTTTCTTTTCATAGTTGGAATATATATTTTTATTTTGTTGTATTTTTAAGATTAGTGTTTTAAGTTAAAGTTTCTTATATTGAAGTTAATCTTATTTGCTTTAGCTATCATTTTCTTTATTAATTAAAATATACTATATTATTTTATTAATTAAAATAATTCTTATTTACTTTTGTTTTAATTTTAGTATTTTTAATTAAAATATATTCTCTTATTTTATTATGTTTTTATTTTATTTTTATTTTAAAATTAATATTTTATTTTATATTTTCCTGTTTCTTTTAATATTAATTTTTTAGCTTATATTAATGTAAATTAAAGTTACTCTTAATTATTTATTTTTTTCTTAATTAAAATATATCATTTTTACCTTTATTAAATTGAAGTTCATCTTAACTATTTCGTTTTTAAATGTATTTTGTTAATTTAAATATATCATTTATTCTTTTTCTTTTTTGTTGATATATATATTTTTAGCTTTCTTTTTTTGTTTTTTATTTATTAACATGATCGCGACATGTGTCAATCGATAAAATTTTGACACACTTTGCAGTTAGAATAAAAACAAATATCTAACATATATTCTATATATACACATATAAATTAATTAAAATATAATAATGAATATACCATATAAATTTTCTGTCTTATTTTTTAGATTATCAAAATCCTTATAATTTGAAATCTAAATTTTTTAAAGGGTATTTGACAAAACTCTTGCTCCATGGAGTTAACACTTATACTCTTAGTTAAAAAAATATTATATAACAACACATAACATAACATAATGCATGATTGTATGTACCATAATAACATAACATAATATTATTAATGTACATATAATGTAATGCATGATTGTTTTAACGCAATGAGAAAGAATATTTTTCTAAATTGAAGTTAATTTTATTTTATTATATTTTTAATATTTTTTAATTGAGATATATCTTTTTTTCTTTTAGAAATAGTATTGTAGCTTATATTTAATCGCCACATGTCGTAAACATTTTAATTACTAACTTTGATGTATCCAACTTCATATAATAAGAAACGTGTTATATTTGTCTTTTTAAATCTGCTTTTATCTTTATATATATATATATATATATATATATAATTATTTTCTACTATAAATTGTGATATATTAGTTCTTAAAAAATGTCTCATATATTTATATGCTGGAATAAATATTATATGTGTCCTAACTGTTTATCTATATTTAATTGATTTCTGATCTTTTTCTCCAACTTATTTTCATGGAATAAATATCTCATATATTTATATGCTAGTGATATTTTCTCTTATTTCATGTAAGCTTCCGTCTCTTTCTGTTCTGTGATTGGTTGTAACTCTAAATGAGGAGAATTTTAGTTAGATTTGGGGAGACAGAGCAAGAGATATGTTCATATATTACATCTGTTTGATAGGTTTTTATATTAAAAAATTAAACTTATTTGATAAACTGTTGATTTTAATTGATTTGAGGCATTTCTCTTCATTCGTGAAGCAATTTTGATGTCTTCATCAATCCGACAATGATGAACTACCTGATCTATATTTGAGAATGTGTGTGAAGATATTTTTGTCTATTTTCATGTCAAGTAGAGGTAAACGACATGACTCCGTTAAAAAAGTATAATCAATAATTTTGTTTTAGTTTATTTATACACTTCATATTAGAACTCATATACTATCTGGTGGATGAGTAAAGTCATCGAATATTAACTTTATATTACCATCGCTAAGAAAAAAATGGATGATAAGTATTTGCTATTTTTTCTTTTTCATATAAATCAAGTTTATTTCTATACTATATAATTTAAACACTTTATTTTTCTTTATTTATAATAAATCTTCATTCATTTTATATAGTAAAGTAGATATGAATAATTTTACTTTAGTTTTATGCATTAATCTTTCTGAGTTTTTTTTAAAAAAATTTGATAACTATTCTCTGCAGGTATTTCAGTCATCTTTCGTAATTGTTCACCTCCTAACTCTTTTTCACATTCTATTTATTTACATTCGAAATAGCATTTTTCAGAGGTATTTTATAGTTTTCATGGTTTATAAAATAATTATTTATTTTATATGAATGTTTTTACTTTAGCTTTATATATAAATCTTTCTACGGTTTTGTTTTTAAAAAAAAAGTTTGATAACTATTCTCTTTAAGTTCTTCCGCCATCTTTTGTATTTGTTTTCCTTCCAAACTTTTTTTCACAAATAGAGAATTTATAATGTTTGTGATTTGTAAAATATATATTTTTTAATTTTAAATTAATATCATATGAAAACCTAAAAATGAATACCCAAAATATATAAAAGTTTATAAAAAAATATACCAAAATATTTAGAAGCTCATTTTTATAAAAAAATTGCTGAGATGGACACTTTAGATGGAGAGGAAATTTTTTTAATTATATATATTATGATTCAATTAAAAATATAATTTCATCAGTTGCCGTTCTTTTTCAATAATATACCACTTTATAAACTTCGACAAAAATTCAAACTGAGAAAAAAGCGTAA